TCTTCATGTGGTCGTTCATAATTCTACTAGAAAAGGAATTCACTTCCGGGGGGGGGGGACGATTTTGGGTTCCAGTGTAAATGCAGCTATCGGTTACCTTCACGGTCGTGTTGAACCATATGATTGCAAACCCAAAGAAAAAGTTTAGAGGGAAAACAGTCCTGATAAACGGTCCTGATACGAAAAAAACTACAGAAATTTACAATATCAAGTCACGTGAAAGACAGTCAAGAAACAAATCGATTGAGGTAGGGATTGACTTCTAGAGATATCAACATCGACTTGTATTGGAGCTGAGCTCGACAACAAACCGTTGAACTTGAAAGGGAACGTAAAATCTAGATCTTATGGTAGCATTTTACGGCCAATTTTGCGAAATATTGTCAAAATTTGCGAAAAATTGAACAACTTTTGCAAATTTTGAAGAATGAAAGAATCGTTACTATGTTATGGTCAGAAGACAAAAAGAGTTGTCCATTAATGATGTCACCAAATTATATAGATATCGCCATCTAATGACAAGTTATTTAGGGGGAAAAATTGTTATCACTCCGTAGTTCCTAAAATATGAAAACTTGTTTAATTCACTGAAGTAAAAAATTAGTAGTCATGTAACGGATTATTTCAAGTTCAAGGCTTCCTAAATCCGAATTCACAATCCTCTGGCAGTACGTTCGAATTGAAAAGAAACAATGTTTTGGGACATGTGTAAGGTTAATCTTAAGGTTTCTTTTGCATTTTTTTTTCTTCCCCAAAATTTGAAAATTTGGCCGATAGATATTTTGTTCGTTTGGGGGGGGGGGGGGGGGGGGGGGGGGTTGAGAGCACATTTTTTTTTTCCCCCCAAAATTTGAAAATTTGGCCTGTAGATATTTTGTTCGTTTGGGGGGGGGGGGGGGTAAGGTCAGCTTTTTGGGGTCACCCATTACCAAAATTTTGTTTATTTTTTCTTTATTATTATTATTTGTTTTAAATTGTAAACAACATACACATTAAAAAAGTTTAGGGGGGGAGTTCAACCCCCTCCCTTCCTGCGTACGCGCCTGACATATAGTATGATAGTTATACATGTATTTTTACCTTGACAGTTGTCAATAGGATCTAGCCGATACCCAGTGGAACATGAGCAGACATAAGAACCTTGAGTGTTTGTACATTGACCGTTGAGGGCGTCACATGGATATTCATCACCTGTGTGTTCACATTCGTCAATATCTGATGGAAAATAACAATTGATTGAAAATAAACAAAATGCAACAAGATGAATGCGACTACGTCTCGAATCTATTGAAATATTCTTCATAATTTAAATAGTATGATAGTTATACATGTATTTTTACCTTGACAGTTGTCAATAGGATCTAGCCGATACCCAGTGGAACATGAGCAGACATAAGAACCTTGAGCGTTTGTACATTGACCGTTGAGGGCGTCACATGGATATTCATCACCTGTGTGTTCACATTCGTCAATATCTGATGGAAAATAACAATTGATTGAAAATAAACAAAATGCAACAAGATGAATGCGACTACGTCTCGAATCTATTGAAATATTCTTCATAATTTAAATAGTATGATAGTTATACATGTATTTTTACCTTGACAGTTGTCAATAGGATCTAGCCAATACCCAGTGGAACATGAGCAGACATAAGAACCTTGAGTGTTTGTACATTGACCGTTGAGGGCGTCACATGGATATTCATCACCTGTGTGTTCGTCACATTCGTCAATATCTGATGGAAAATAACAATTGATTGAAAATAAACAAAATGCAACAAGATGAATGCGACTACGTCTCGAATCTATTGAAATATTCTTCACAATTTAAATAGTATGATCGTTATACATGTATTTTACCTTGACAGTTGTCAATAGGATCTAGCCGATACCCAGTGGAACATGATTTGCACGTCGAGAGCTTTGACTACAACGTGTGACGTCTTTTTAAGGCACTGCGCATGCATTACGTCGTCTCAGTCGGCGATCGAGAATGCTTCAACCTTGATTTTCCTAAATCTAGTACGGTACTAGTATATGCCGCATGCGCATAAAATATACAGTTCCTCATGTAGACAAAGGAACATCCCTTCCCTGCTTTTATGTAAAAATGTGTAGAACAGGTGTCACATGCATATTCACTTGTTCTACATATTTTTACATAATAGCAGTGAAGGGATGTTCTTTTGTCTACCACAGCAATTGTTGAGGGTAGAATGAGGAACGGTATATGTTGTCCTCTTTCTTTTTCCGTCGTGTTCATAGTATCACTTCCTGCATGCATGTATATCGTCGAGTGCAATCTAAAAGATTTCTAATTGTAGTCAACATGGGCAGTTGAGTACGTTGACACGCATGATCAGTCGGCGTTCGTCATGTTCTCGTCCAATCAATCTAAAAGTTCCTAATATCTGATGGAAAATAACAATTGATTGAAAATAAACAAAACGCAACAAGATGAATGCAACTGCGTCTCGAATCTATTGATATATTCTTCACAATTTAAATAGTATGATAGTTATACATGTATTTTACCTTGACAGTTGTCAATAGGATCTAGCCGATACCCAGTGGAACATGAGCAGACATAAGAACCTTGGGTGTTTGTACATTGACCGTTGAGGGCGTCACATGGATATTCATCACCTGTTCGCTCACATTCGTTAATTTCTGATGGAAAATAATAGTAATTTATTGAAAATAAACAAAACGCAACAAGATCACTGCGTCTCTGATAAGCCTCCGCCTACATTCATTAACTACTAATTTCTACTACATGTACCTATTGTATGATTTCCTAAACTGGTATTTTCACAATCATTTACCTCCATCAATTATTTGTATGAGTCTGTAATTCATGTTTAATATTGATCGTTATCAATGATTGTCCTCTGTCTTTGTGGCATTAGACCATTAAAAGTTGATGAGCACGGGAGGGCTCCTTTTGGTCCACGATCTTTGGTGGAAAGAAGAGGCACCTTGACCGTGCTTGTCAAAACCATACTCCTCACTTTTTGTTTTCATTTTTTAACAATAGTGTCTTACAGATGCACATGTTCGCTAACATTTGAATGACTAATTGCTCTATTTTTGCCACTATCTTTGCCAGTAGTCATTCGCAGAATGGTCGTTACTCCAACGCTTCCCCCCCCCCCCCGAATGTCGATGATTTCAAGGCTTCCTAATTCCGAATTCACAATCCTCTGGCAGTACGTTCGAATTGAAAAAGAAACAATGTTTGGGACATGTGTAAGGCTATCCTAAAGGTTTCTTTTGCAATTTCCTCCCGATAATTTGAATATTGATATATTCTTCAAAATGTAGTAGTAGTAGTATGATATAATAGTTATACGTGTATTTGTTGTACCTTGACAGTTGTTATTAAGATCTAGTCGATACCCAGAGGAACATGAGCAGACATAAGAACCTTGAGTGTTTGTACATTGGCCGTTGAGGGCGTCACAAAATAATAATAATAATAGTGGGTTCTTGTATAGCGCTCATGTCAGTCAGATTTGACCCTCCTGGCGCTCCCGATTATTACCCTGGCTTTAGCGCGGCTGCCATACGGCGCTCTAGCATTTCAAGGAATATATTCCTACATGGATATTCATCACCTGTGTGTTCACATTCGTCAATATCTGATGGAAAATAGTTATTGATTAAATATCAACAAAACGCAACAAGTTGAATGCGACTGGCTCTCGAATATATTGATATATTCTTCACAATTTACTAATAGTATGATAGGTATACACGTATTTTACCTGTTTTGGGACATGTGTAAGGTTATTCTTAACGTTTTTTTTTTGCATTTTCCTCCCGAAAATTTGAATATTGATTCACAATTAACTAATAGTATGATAGCTATACATGTATTTTTACCTTGACAGTTGTCAATAAGATCTAGCCGATACCCAGTGGAACATGAGCAGACATAAGAACTTCGAGTGTTTGTACATTGACCGTTGAGGGCGTCGCACGGATATTCATCACCTGTTCGTTCACATTCGTCAATATCTGATGAAAATAGCAATTGATTGAAATAAACAAAATGCAACAAGATGAATGCGACTGCGTCTCGAATATGCCTCCGCCTTCATTCATTATTACTAAAAAAAAATAACATGTACCTACTGTATAATTTCCTAAATTTGTATTTTCACAATCATTTATGATGAGAACTGTCTCCATTTTTCAACTTACTGTACCTCTCTCTGATGCTGCATTAAATTTGATTTACCTCCATCACTGATTGTTATGAGACTGTAATTTATGTTCAAGATTCATCATTATCATTGATTGCTCTCTGTCTATGTGACGTTTGTCCTTAGAGCTACTTCCCAAAAAATATTTGTCAGTAGTATGTCTCTCTATAATTTGATATATACATAATTTGATGCATACCCAGCCTTCTCTATTGCTGCTCCCGCCATGCAAAGAGGCGCTAACTTTTGCAGTCAAAAGAAAAATAAAGGCAATTAGGAAATGACAGGAGACAGAGAAGGAAAAAGGGATAGGGGAGCATTTTAAAACAATAAATAGGCTACCATACGAAGCAGAGTTAATTCATACGTTTTAATTTAGCAAAGGTCTCAATGATGTGTAGGCCTACCAAAACGAAGGCCTATTTCACGTCGCACAGTTTAGTACTTTGTTTTTAATAAAGCTTAGTATTATTCAAAACTATCTTCCCACATTTGTCTTATGTCTGTGTCCATGGTTAAGGTATTCTTTACATAATATTGAAATATGGCCTCGAGTTGTACGCCAAGAGGTTATATCGCACGTCGAGCTATAAACATAATTTCACGAGTCGGCACGACGAGTAAAATATTGTCAAAGCAAGTGATTATACACCTTTGTTTACTACAAATATATAAAACTATAGTACCACTGACCAGATTCGACATTACATCCTTGAGTTTTTGTATTAATTTGCAAAGTAAAAAGAGTAATAAAAAACAGTATTTTGACATTAGCTTACCCAAAGATATTTTACTCGTTACGCGCATACATCTGTCTTAGCCTTGGCGTTTTAAACGCGGGTTCACAAGTATCCGAGTAGGCGTTCTTTTGAGCTATTCATCATGCATTAATTGAGAGGTTTCATTTTCCTTACTGTTCCCATTATCTAAATTACCCTGATTCCATAGCACTGAACATATAATTTCTCGCAATTTTGGGCGTTCCAGAAGGATAAACCTACACCTACATATATGTTTGGGATGAGTAGAAGCCTGATAGGTGTAAAAAAAAAAAAAAAAAAAAAAAGGAAACATATTTTTGACCCTTTCTACTTTTAAGTACATTTCGCATTGTCTACACATCGACTGCGGTTAAACTATTGCCCAAGGTGATCTTAAAAATGTACTGTGACCCGAGACGAAGTAACCTGTCTTATATACCTCATCCCGCATTTCATTGCTAACAATATTTATACATATCAACAGCATATGCCTACCAGCATGTATTTGCATGTGTATCTGTGGCACTGTGCGCATACCCATTAATAAATTCACGAGGAACCATTGCGTCCTTGTCTTGCTTAATACGCGCATGTAGAGCTATGCCCAATAAATATATTTCGCTTTATATTACCCAGCCTTTAATAACGAATTTCTATCCTGCCTTTTTGATCAATCTGATACCTAGAGTCTTCTTATAGGGTTTATAAAATGAACAATTTAATTCAGAGTTAATTCCCTTACAAAAATGTACCATGGTAACCATGGTACTTTTGTCCAAATTACCATCCACCATGGTAACCATGGTTATCATGGTACCAAAACAATGAAATACATGGTTTAATGACCCAATGTATTTCATTGTTTTGGTACCATGATAACCATGGTTACTATGGTGGATGGTAATTTGGACAAAAGTACCATGGTTACCATGGTACATTTTTGTAAGGAATACCACCCCCACCCACGGCCCCTCCCTACCCTAAAACACACACAGCCTCGAAAGAAAAAAAAAGTATACAGTTACCAATGCCGTCACACGTGACCCCAGCATCTTCAGAATGCACACAGTTGTGAGATAGGTAACCGTTGTGTTGACAGAAGGCGAGGTTTGACTCAGATCCAGTGCACTGCACATTATCCAGGATAATTTCCCCCGTGCCTTGGCCAAAGTTTGCGCTGCTGGAATAAGCCGAAGCATTTGGATATCCCAATGTGTGACAAACTACATGGGCGTCATCTAAACCCCACAGATCGTCACACACTGTACCCCATGCACCTTGGTAGTAAACCTCAACTCTCCCTTCAAAGGATCCACTTCCACCAACCAAACGGGTCCTCAGAGGTTCTGTATTTAATAGAGAATAGTCATTGACATTAGCGTGTAAATCAAATGATTATTTTTAAAATACCATAGTCACACCAACGATACCATTCGGTGTCGGTTTGGTATTTGGGTTGGCGGTGTGACGTAAAGTATCCAATGGAGTCACTTTTCAGCTGTAGAGATGTCGTTGTCGACTGGATACGTCACCGGACTGTGGATCACAGGGTCCACGGTTCGAGTCCCGCCGCATCACTAATATCCTTTGGCAAGACATTGATCTACGTTTGCCACACTCAACCCAGGTGATGTAAATGGGTACCTGGCAGCTATTAATTCATTGAAATGCTGGAGCGCCGTTATGGCAGCCATGCCAAAGTCAGTTTAATAATCTGTGAAGTCTGACCGCTATACAAGAACCCAATATTATCACTATCGGACTCGTACGTCAAAGGCAGTATATATTCGGAATTTAAGAAGAATGATAATATACATTAAAAGTTCAATGCATTCTTTATGAGTTGTCTTGTAGTGCGCTTAAATTGTTACCGACATGCCCTTGTTTTCCAGCATGCCAAGTGACACTAGCGACACTTGCGACACAGATGTACGCATTTTTTAATCAGGCGTAGAGGCGTGTTCAAGGTTTCCTGAAAATATAATTTACTAAATCCTATTTTTCGTCAAAAGGGCTGTTTTTGGACGCCCCCTCGGATTTAGGGGTGACCGGTACAACAAAAACAAAAAAAAGCTCTGAAATATTGTGTATTATGAAGAAAAAAAAATCTTTTGAATAAACAAGGTTTGCTTAGTTTGTTAGGTAGTGGCAGGTAAACCCCTCTTTTCTTACTTTGGGCTCTCCGCTCTATACATCCATCAAATTTGATTTGATTTTTTTTTTTTTTTTTTTTTCATTCGCAAAGGACTCTTTGTACTTAACCATTGAGGGTAAATATTTTTTTTTTCATTCGCAAAGGACTCTTTGTACTTAACCATTGAGGGTAAATATTTTTTTTTTCATTCGCAAAGGACTCTTTGTACTTAACCATTGAGGGTAAATCATGTGCTGCGGGCCGGGAAAAGGGTATTGACTTGATCTATTTATCCATTCCAGGGGATCACAAACAGCTTTTCTGAAATACCCCGCATTGCTGCTAGACAAGGGCCCCGTTTCATGAAATAGAGTTATCAGTTACAAGCTACAATAACTGCTACAAGCTCTTGAAATGTGGGTATCTGATTGGCTGAAAGCTAATTTGTCATAAGATTTTAGCATTTGTTATTGATAACAAGTTTCGTGAAATAGGGGCCCTGATGTTGTAAAGAATAAGGTTTTGAAGACATTCAAACGATACCATTTCTGTATAGACTGTGGGCTAGCATGCAAAAACCGAGTAAGAGCCACAACACATAGCATAACGTGCTCTAAAAGACACACGATTTTAACAGGCCCTCGAAAAATGACTTGAAAACATATTCACTGAGGTTGAGGCTGGAAAGAACAGCTTGATTTTCTTAGCTGTACTTCCTTTTCCTCAGCTTAAAAAAACTATACGTAGACATTGGTTTAGATTAAATCTCCTTTGTGGATTCGGACCTCAGTGTAGTCATGTGTGCTCTGAATTATGGAATTCTACTTCTCATTACCAGAACCGTTTTAAATATGTAATGCCTCTTTTTATAAGCATTAATATTTACACGTACTTCAGAAAGAGTTCTCCTATTGAAGTGGAAAAAAGAATTTGAGGGAAGAGAGAAGTAGACAACAGAATTCCCAATAATATCCCTGAAACGTTCCTGCACTGAATGATTAATTATTTTCACAAGATTCTTCGATATACGCTAGATATCATAGGCAAATCATACTCTCATGGACAGTCAAAACATCCACACAAACGTTTGTCTGGATTTATGATTTAATCATGACTGATTGACAAGAATAGATATGGGGGCGGGGTTACCGCGGTGAAAGAGGATGAGAATGGGAAAGGGATAGGGAGGGCAATAAAGAGAACATAAAAGAAGAAGGGTGGACGGAGATAAACAAAGAGGAAATAAGGGCAATGGGGAAAAGAGAAAGAGATGGACAGAGACAGGGGTAAGAGGAAGAGGGGGAGGGGCAATAGTATAGTATTAATGACTGCTTTGAGAGAAATAGTTGTTTTATTACGCTCAAGGGAAGGTTAGAATTGTGCTATTCCCCGAGGCTTGCCGAGGGGAATAGCCCAATATTGTAACCTTCCCGAGAGCGTATGAAAACAACTATTTCTCGAATATTAAAGCAGTCATTAATACTTTTATATGCCGAAAAAAAATAGACTAAAAAATGAAAAATTAAAAATATTTATCATTTTTGTCGAAGACGGGATTCGAACTCTTGCGTACAACAAGAGGTGTACCGAAAACCAACGCTTAGACCACTCGGCTATGGCCCGCCGTTAACATGCTTGGCAGTTTTCTCCAATATATACATTAAAATGGATTGAAACCGGCTTCGCGTGTGATGAATGCTTCGCAAAAGCTCCATATACGGACTCTTCTTTTACTTTTGCAATGCATATTGGCACGAACTTAGATCAAGATCTATCGGCAGATGTTGTTTTTTTGTTTTTGGAAGTTTATTTTCGTCTTCATGTCAACAATGCAAGATAAATTTGTCGGTAAGATCGATCGAGATTCAATTGTATTGAAATTACCGACCAATCCTTCGCACACATACGGCATCCTCCATCGCTCAAACCATTTTTTAACATGTAAACCTATGGGGTAACCATGGAGGCTGACCAACTTTTTTTAATAACCATGGTTATTAAAAATAGTGAAATGTTTTATGCATGGTTACCGAGAATTTTACAGGAACAGTTGAAGTTTATGAATGCAATTCGACCAATCAGATGGCTGGATTTCTTAAGTGAGGTATATAATTGGAGATAGAACACAGGGGAGGCAGGGGAGGTAAGGACAGAAGGATGAAGAAGAGCTAAGGAATTTAAGAGGGTGATAAAAGAGGAAGGGAGAGACGGGAATGGTTAGGGACTGAAGAGAGAAAGAGAGAGAGAGAGCTAAATGCAATGAAGAAGCGAGTGACAGAGCAAAGAGAAAGAGAGAGGGGCATGTAGTGAGGGAGAGCAGATGGGTAAGGAGAAACTTAAGGTTGTATAAATACAGCAGGGAGATGTGAGTTTCCCCTATGTAGAGAGAGGAAGATAGATAGTAAAAATGAACTGAGAGACAGGACTATAGTTGGTAGGAGAAAAACAGGGATATTGAAATAGAGAAGGAATAATAGAGAAAAGGGAAATATGTGGATAATAGGGGTAAAATAGAGAGAGAGAGAGAGAGAGAGAGAGACAGGGGTGGTGGAAATGGGGCATATAGATAGAAAAGAGAAACAAGACATAGAGAGAAGAAATTCAGCGCACCATAAGGATGACAAGGGTGGAAAGAGAAAAGAAAGTAGGAGAGTGAGAGAGAGAGAGAGAGAGAAGAAATAGAGAAATAGAGAGAGAGAGAGAGAGAGAGAGAGAGAAAGAGAGAGAGAGAGAAAAAGAGAGAGCAGAAGCAAAAAAAGGGGGGGGGGGCATTAATGAGGGGGAGGTGGAGGTTCGATCTGCTCAAATTATTTCAAATATTTTATAATTATTTTAAATTCATATTTGTGAATGGAACTCTTAATACAATTAGGAATGCATGATAGTTTGCTTTTTAATTTTTTACCGGCAACAAAGAAATAATTATCAGTACTGAAAGAGAATAATGGGGATCATACATAGGAGTCATCATTGAAAACAACATACTGATCAGTTATTAAGAATGAAAATATCGTTTTGCATGTTTCTATGTGAGCATCTAATCAACAGATAAAGTAGAGAAAATAATAAGGAACAATTATAGGGAGTTATCTGCTTGGAGGCGGCCCGAAAGTTTTGAAATATCTAGTAGTTGGTATTGGTATTTATTTTCCATATCACAATATTAAAAACAATACAAAGTAAATGCATGTACATAGTAAAATCAATAGTTTAGTAAATGGCTGGATAACCCATTCAGCTTTGTTAGTATAACAAAACTGTTCTTCCCTGGGGTCCAGGAATTAAGATACCAACACTTATTATACAACATACAATACAACATAAAATTATATACTTTGAATACATATATAACCTAAAACAGATAAGAGAAGCATAAAACACCCCCCCCCCCCCCCCCCCACATCCCAAGCATGTTCCATTACAGATCAGAGCAAAACTGATTTCTTAAATTTAAAAGTTTTTTAAATTGTTGGATAGCTTAATAGTTAACGGTAGGTCATTGTACTCACGTGAGCCTTTATACACAAACATTTTACGGCAGCATTCACTCTTTGGTTTGGGAAGTTTAATATTTCCTTGCGATCGTAGAGAATATGGATAGTTACAGTATTTGAAGGACTCCTTTAAATAAGGAGGAGCCAAATTGTTCAGGGATTTATAGACCATTATATTTAAACGCAATTTACGTCTTGAATGGAGAGATTTCCACCCTAATTTAACATGACCCAATGTATTTCATTGTTTTGGTACCATGATAACCATGGTTACCATGTTGGATGGTAATTTGGACAAAAGTACCATGGTTACCATGGTACATTTTTGTAAGGAATACCACCCCCACCCACGGCCCCTCCCTACCCTAAAACACACACAGCCTCGAAAGAAAAAAAAAAAGTATACAGTTACCTATGCCATCACACGTGACCCCGGCATCCTCATAATGCCCACAGTTGTGAGATAGGTAACCGTTGTGTTCACAGAAGGCGATGTTTGACTCAGATCCAGTGCACTGCACATTATCCAGGATAATTTCCCCCGTGCCTTGGCCAAAGTTTGCGCTGCGGTCATAAGCAGAAGCACGTAGATATCCCAGTGTGTGGCAAACGACGTGGGCGTCATCTAAACCCCACAGATCGTCACACACTGTACCCCATGCACCTTGGTAGAGAACCTCAACTCTCCCTTCAAAGGATCCACTTCCACCAACCAAACGGGTCCTCAGAGGTTCTGTATTTAATAGAAAATAGTCATTGACATTAGCGTGTAAATCAAATGATTATATTTAAAATACCATAGTCACACCAACGATACCATTCGGTGTCGGTTTGGTATTTGGGTTGGCGGTGTGACGTAAAGTATCCAATGGAGTCACTTTTCAGCTGTAGAGATGTCGTTGTCGACTGGATACGTCACCGGACTGTGGATCACAGGGTCCACGGTTCGAGTCCCGCCGCATCACTAATATCCTTTGGCAAGACATTGATCTACGTTTGCCACACTCAACCCAGGTGATGTAAATGGGTACCTGGCAGCTATTAATTCATTGAAATGCTAGAGCGCCGTTATGGCAGCCATGCCAAAGTCAGTTTAATAATCTGTGAAGTCTGACCGCTATACAAGAACCCAATATTATCACTATCGGACTCGTACGTCAAAGGCAGTATATATTCGGAATTTAAGAAGAATGATAATATACATTAAAAGTTCAATGCATTCTTTATGAGTTGTCTTGTAGTGCGCTTAAATTGTTACCGACATGCCCTTGTTTTCCAGCATGCCAAGTGACACTAGCGACACTTGCGACACAGATGTACGCATTTTTTAATCAGGCGTAGAGGCGTGTTCAAGGTTTCCTGAAAATATAATTTACTAAATCCTATTTTTCGTCAAAAGGGCTGTTTTTTGGACGCCCCCTCGGATTTAGGGGTGACCGGTACAACAAAAACACAAAAAAGCTCTGAAATATTGTGTATTATGAAGAAGAAAAAAATCATTTGAATAAACAAGGTTTGCTTAGTTTGTTAGGAAGTGGCAGGTAAACCCCTCTTTTCTTACTTTAGGCTCTCCGCTCTATACATCCATCAAATTTGATTTGATTTTTTTTTTTTTTTTTTTTTCATTCGCAAAGGACTCTTTGTACTTAACCATTGAGGGTAAATCATGTGCTGCGGGCCGGGAAAAGGGTATTGACTTGATCTATTTATCCACTCCAGGGGATCACAAACAGCTTTTCTGAAATACCCCGCATTGCTGCTAGACAAGGGCCCCGTTTCATGAAATAGAGTTATCAGTTACAAGCTACAATAACTGCTACAAGCTCTTGAAATGTGGGTATCTGATTGGCTGACAGCTAATTTGTCATAAGATTTTAGCATTTGTTATTGATAACAAGTTTCGTGAAATAGGGGCCCTGATGTTGTAAAGAATAAGGTTTTGAAGACATTCAAACGATACCATTTCTGTATAGTGTTAGGTCGGGACAATCAGCTCACATTGGCCCTAACCATAACTTATTATTATATCAATTCATAAAGGAAATCAAGACGATTTGGTTACCTTTTGATCCGATTCTTCGTTTATTATTCTCGACTCGAGCAACAACTCCAAAATTAGCATATTCATAAATCATCTAATTTGCATATTCGTAACATATCTCCCCCCATAAAAGAAATTTTCTATCAGTAGTTAGAACTTTCTTCTGAACAATAATCGTAAGATCTTAAGGTGATAAATTAACCACACAAAAAGTATTTAAAAGCTAGCATGAAGATCATCTTTCTAATATCAAAGACAGACTGATTAGTCCTTTCATTCCAACATTCAATAACAAAACACAAACTGCAGAAAAAGGAAAACAACTTTGATAGATCAACATTATACGATCTCTTCCTGAAACCTGTAAGTATCAGGACATTAATCAAACACAATGCCTGTGTTTTGTAAAGAACCACAACCTGTAATGGTCGGAACACATCTCTACACATCACACATAATGAATATATGAGCGTAATAAGCATGCGCGATAAATGAAACACTGAATATTCAGCAAAGGCGCCGATATCCAACATGCGCAAAACACAATTCGCATAACAAATGATTGCATATTCATAATGAACGCGTACAACGTAGTCACATGACGCGTTGCTATGACGACACCTCATTACTATGTCGGAATGCAGTGTCTCATTAAATATGTGGGTCAACAGAAGCAATATGTTATAATGATCCACATAACTGTGCACAGCTCGATTTGAAATATTTCTGACATGAAATGCAAGAGTTACTGCTGCAAGCTATAAATTGAAACTTGTTTAAATACAAACAAATAAGCAAGACTTATCAAGTTAAATCACACACACATACATATGCAATACTGGCAGTCAATAATCTTTGAAATCTGTGTAACAACATTACGCAAGTTGTGATGCTACACCTTTGTTTTGCTTTCAATTTGTTTTACACCTGTAATTTTTGATGTTGTTATGAAATGGTAAATGCATTAAGCTTTGCGTTGCATAGCTAACAATGCTGGGTATTATTATTAACAATAACTATTCCCTTTTTATCAAAAGAAAACTATTCTAATAACGAACAAACAGAATCGAGAAAAGACATGAAATCATTATACATGTAGGCACAGGTAAGGAAACAATGACATACATGTATGGTGCACATTCTCCACAGAATATACCGTAGTCCACTGTCCATACTGGCAATTCCCTGTTAATAGGTGAAATGTTCATACATGGTCATTCATATCACAGTTATCACAGTTCAGAATTATTGAATTATCTGATCCATCAGTTCACAGAGTTAAAAGACATGTACAGATACAAAGCAATAAATCGTGTGTAGCTTCCTTATGACAAATAAAGACAAAATATTCTAGTTTCTTCACAATTTGTCGAATGTTTAGTAGGCTTGTTTAAGCTCTAGAAAGCGTGTCTGCGATTATATTGTCCTTTCCTTTGATATGAGTCACTTTCAGTCCATAAGGCTGGAGAAACAAACTCCAACGAAACAGTCTCTGGTTTTTGTTTCTGAAGCGCTCAAGAAAAGTTAATGAATTATGATCTGTGAATACAGTCACCTCTGAAGAGTTGCTAATGTACACGTCGAAGTGCTGAACTGCCAAGACGAGACCAAGGCACTCCTTCTCTATAGTAGAATATCTTCGCTGGTGTGGGTTGAGCTTCTTGGAAAAGTAGCTAATGGGTTTCAGGAGACCCATGTCATCCATCTGTAGGAGAACAGCACCAACTCCTACATCACTGGCGTCAGTGGCAAGCTGAAAAGGCTTCTGGAAATTGGGAGCATCCAGCACTGGTTTTGACATTAGAACTGCCTTTAACTTCTGAAATGCTATCTCACATGAGCTTGACCACTCAAACTTAATTCCCTTCTTGAGAAGGTCAGTGAGGGGTGCAACAAGGTCACTGAAGTTTGGAACAAACTTGCGGTAAAACCCGCACATCCCAAGAAATCTCATCACTTCCTTCTTGGATGAAGGGGCAGGAAATTCCACGATAGCTTGGACCTTTGCTTGCCGCGGGACAACATGTCCCCGTCCAACCTCATGACCCAAGTATGTGACGGTGGCTTTAGCAAATTCACACTTGGCCAAGTTCACAACAAGACCAGCCTTGGTCAGTCTGTCAAACAAGTCTCTCAGGTAAGCTAGGTGATCTGACCATGTATCACTGAAAACCAGGATATCATCAATATACACCACTACATTGTCAAGTCCCGCAATGACATCAGTCATAAGCCGCTGAAATGTTGCTGGGGCATTTCTCATGCCAAAGGGCATAACTCTACACTGAAATAACCCTTGGGGAGTCACGAAAGCAGAAACCTCCTTCGCCCTTCTTGAAAGGGGTACTTGCCAGTACCCTTTCATGAGATCAAGCTTTGTGATGAACTTCGCACTACCTACTTGGTCTATGCAATCCTCAATACGGGGTAGGGGAAACGAGTCAGGCTTAGTCACAGCATTAACTTTCCTATAATCAATGCAAAAGCGCTGACTTCCATCAGGCTTGGGAACAAGGACTACAGGTGAACTCCAGCAGCTCTGACTTGGCTCAACGATACCACAGTCTAGCATATACTGAAGCTCTGTCTGCACCTGATGTTTCTTTCTAGGATTCAATCTATAAGGATGCTGTTTGATGGGCAAACTATCTCCTACATCTACATCATGTACCGTTCGCAGAGTACAACCTAACTTATCTGTACACACTGCAGGGTACTCACACAGAATCTCTATCACATCATGCTGTTCCTGCTCAGACAAATGACCCAATACCTCAGCAGGATTTGCCATCACCTGGGAATTGTTCACCTTACCAGACATCCCAGATCCAAAATCTGCTTCCTCTGTGAATTCAAGCATATCTGGATCACTGTCAACTGTTTCTTCACACACAACAGCAACTGGCACTCTATCCTCATGGTCATAATATTTCTTCAGCATGTTAATGTGACAAACTCTCTTAGTCTTCCTCCTATCTGGAGTGCTCACAAGATATGTCTCCTTACCCAACTTTCTCTCCACCATGTACGGTCCACTAAATTTAGCTCTGAGTGGTTCACCTGGCATTGGTAACAACACTAGAACTTTGTCACCATGCTCAAAGGAGCGAGATTCTGCCTTTTTATCAGCACGAGCCTTCATCACAACCTGAGATGACTTCAAATGTTGTCCTGCCAACTCACACGCCCTCGATAGTCTTTCACGGAATTGTGATACATAGTCCAACACATTCTCACTTTCCTCCTTCATCTCAGACAAGAGTTGCTCTTTCACTACCTTCAATGGTCCTCTTGGTTCATGACCAAACACCAGTTCAAAGGGGGTGAACCCTGTGGAGTCATTAGGAGTATCTCTGGAGGCAAACAACAAAAATGGGATACCCTTGTCCCAATCTCCACTATTCTCCAAACAGTAAGACTTGATCATTGTCTTCAAGGTTTGGTGGTACCTCTCAAGAGCACCCTGTGACTGCGGGTGGTAAGCAGATGAGTTAATCTGCTTGATTCCAAGTTGATACATCACTTCTTGAAATACATTTGACGTGAAATTTGAGCCCTGATCTGACTGGATCTCATGTGGGAGACCATAACGTGTGAAAAACATCAGGAGGGCATCAATCACTGTCTTGGCCTTGATATTTCTCAATGGGAATGCTTCAGGAAAGCGAGTCGTTGTATCCATGATAGTCAACAAGTACTGAGAACCAGTCCTAGTCTTGGGTAGAGGGCCCACACAATCTATCAGAACACGACTGAATGGTTCCTGACTAACAGGAATGGGAATAAGTGGTGCTGGCTTGATTCGATGTTGAGGCTTCCCCACCACTTGACAGGCATGACAAGATCTATACTCAGATACATCTTTGCGGAGTCCCGGCCAGTGAAAATGAGCCTCAATTCTGGCAACAGTCTTTCTCACACCAAGATGTCCTGCCACTGGAATATCATGAGACAACCTTAAAATCTCCTGCCTATACTCCGGGGGAACTACAATCTGATTTACCACTGCCCAGTCTTCATCTGCTGGACGCCCAGCTGGACACCACTTTCGCATTAACACATCACATTTTGTGAAGTAGCACTGTGACACCTTTTCAGCTTCTCCTGCTGGTAGAGCAACATCAAACAACTTCTTCAAGTCCTCTGCTGCTTTCTGAGCCTCAATCAACGCAGGTTGACTGAAGATAGGCTTATCATGAATCTGGTCATCTAATTGGCCCTCACCCAACATTCTGAAAAAAGTGTCACCCAAATTGACTTCACCATCATTGTCATCTTCTTCTTTCTCTTTCATAGCCTGGGCTCTAGTAACTACACATGAAGGAAAAATACCAGGAATTTCATTTTTTCAATTCCTCTGTCTCTGAACTCACCTCAGGAATGTCACACACAACGGGTGATGGGAACACCTTACCTCCGGCTAAATCATTGCCGAGCAACATTGAAATTCCTCTCATAGGCAACTTAGTAACAATGCCAACAGTCACTGGTCCAGATACTAATCCACTGCTAAGCTCGATGTTATATAATGGAACCGGTTTGAAGCCATCATTCACATCTTGAATCAAAACTTTCTTGCCTGTGAAATTCTCTGTGTCCAAGGACGACGCATCAGCAATAAGCAGAGTCTTCATAGAACCACTATCCCTTAAAATCGTGATAGGCAACTCCTTATCATCAACACTGAACCTAACCGTGCCATAAGAAACAAAATCTAGAAATCCTTCATCAATCTCCTCATCATGTCCACCATCTCTTACTTGATCACTTCTTTTTGTTTCACTGTGATCATTCATTTCATGTTTTTGCATGTCAACCGCTGCAGGGCGCACAAAGCCACTAGGCTGTGTAATTTCTTGTTCAAGTTTTTTTTCTTTAAGTCTTGTACATTGAGTCTTAAGGTGGCCCTCTTTCTTACAGTATGCACAGAAAAGTCTGCCTTCAGTTCTAACACCGCTATCCTGATTTGTACCTGTATTACTGGACTTCCTCTTAGCAGTAGGTGACCTAGATTTGTCGCCATTCCAACTAGAACTACTAGTAGCCTGGGTAGGGTTCCAACGCCTAGGAAGTGGTGACCTACTCCCTTTATGTGTCAATTCGTACCCATCTGCCAACATGGCAGCCTTTCGCACATCAGCAACTACATTATCATTTACATACCTCTTGAGACAGACATCGTTTAAGCTCATCAATGAACATAATCTCTCGAAGAGAATCATATGTGGCATCTATTTTCAAAGATCTGATCCACTGATCGAAGGCAACCTCTTTTCTACGAGCAAACTCTACACAGGTCTCTCCAGTTTCTCTCCTGAGATTGCGAAACCTCTGACGATAGGCTTCTGGAATCAACTCAAATGAATGAAGAATAGCATCCTTCATTGTCCAATAATCAAATGCTTGCTCATAACTCAGTGCAGAAACAACCGACTGAGCTTTACCAGAAATCACTTGTTGGATGAGCAATGCCCATTCATTTTCCGGCCACTCCATTCTCTTGGCAACCCTCTCAAACATAAGAAAGAATGAATCTAACTCATTTTCATCATATCTCGGAACAAGCTTAACCCTAGCAGAGAACCCAGCTTCCATCGACCTCTTGTCTCTCTCACCAGACTGACTGCCCTGAGAAGTCGCGTTATTATGACGCATCATTTCAAATTCCAACCTCTTTCGTTCCATTTCCCTCTCATGCTGGGCAGCCTTTATTTTATCTCTTCTCTCCTCTAGCTCAATCATAGCTAAATCAAGGTCAACCTCGTCACTGGTAGCTTTATCTTGGTTATTAGTACCACCATTATCATTAGTTGTAGTCGCGTCCGCTCGGGCCGCGGCCGTCGCAGCGCTCAGTCCTGCATGGGCTGTAATTGCATCAACTATTTCTGCCTTGCTTTTGTGACCAGTTAGATTTACCAATAGCTTTGTTCCTACAGCTGTTAAATCAACATTTCGTAGCTGACGTAACCGGCCAATGGTCAATGCCTGACTCAAAAACTTTTCAACATCAAAGTCATCCATTGTATAAATTTATTCTGTGTAAGTAATACAAGTCTCACAAAGTAGGTCAATTGTCCTGACGACTAGACTGGAAGAAAACTCCAACAAACAAAATGTTGAATGTGAACCAACACAGAGTATAGTACAACAACAGATCAAACAACGACAATTGATCAACAGACCAAGCAAAACAAAATTGATCAAGCATCAATCTATCACCAATTCTGTGAAATTGCCACAGCTACACAGCACAAGCCAAATTTTGTTAGACTTCATCAACTCACACACTAGATCTAGAATCTATTATGTAACACATGGAAATAATTTCCAGAAAGTCCAGTACACACAGTCCCACACTACATCAGATGTGTAGAAAACTAGATTGCATGCAAACAACTATAATCTAGGCCATTACCCTAGAAGTAGAAACAAAGCCGAGGCAAAGTTTAAGTCAAGTACGTGCAGACACTATTCAGAAGGGAAAGAACGTACTTCCCATAGGTTTAACACGCGCCATGCCCCAATCTGTGCCGCATAAAAAAATAACGCTTCCCGGAGTTACAGTACAGACAGCTAGTCCACAGTCATTAAATGTGTGCGCGAACCACACCAAAACCCATTAATGGGACAAGAGGCGAACTCCAAACGATACGCATTTCGGATCGGAAAAGCAACAAAACAGCAAATGTTACTATATCTAGCTCTGTGGGCTAGCATGCAAAAACCATGGACTTACTTAGTAAGTCCATGCAAAAACCGAGTAAGAGCCACAACACATAGCATAACGTGCTCTAAAAGACACACGATTTTAACAGGCCCTCGAAAAATGACTTGAAAACATATTCACTGAGGTTGAGGCTGGAAAGAACAGCTTGATTTTCTTAGCTGTACTTCCTTTTCCTCAGCTTAAAAAAACTATACGTAGACATTGGTTTAGATTAAATCTCCTTTGTGGATTCGGACCTCAGTGTAGTCATGTGTGCTCTGAATTATGGAATTCGACTTCTCTTTCCAGAACCGTTTTAAATATGTAATGCCTCTTTTATAAGCATTAATATTTACACGTACTTCAGAAAGAGTTCTCCTATTGAAGTGGAAAAAAGAATTTGAGGGAAGAGAGAAGTAGACAACATAATTCCCAATAATATCCCTGAAACGTTCCGGCACTCAATGATTAATTATTTTCACAAGATTCTTCGATATACGCTAGATATCATATGCAAATCATACTCTCATGGACAGTCAAAACATCCACACAAACGTTTGTCTGGATTTATGATTTAATCATGACTGATTGACAAGAACAGATATGGGGGCGGGGTTACCGCGGTGAAAGAGGATGAGAATGGGAAAGGGATAGGGAGGGCAATAAAGAGAACGTAAAAGAAGAAGGGTGGACGGAGATAAACAAAGAGGAAATACAATGGGGAAAAGAGAAAGAGATGGACAGAGACAGGGGTAACAGGAAGAGGGGGAGGGGCAATAGTTGGAGATAGAACACAGGGGAGGCAGGGGAGGTAAGGACAGAAGGATGAAGAAGAGCTAAGGAATTTAAGAGGGTGATAAAAGAGGAAGGGAGAGACGGGAATGGTTAGGGACTGAAGAGAGAAAGAGAGAGAGAGAGCTAAATGCAAGGAAGAAGCGAGTGACAGAGCAAAGAGATAGAGAGAGGGGCATGTAGTGAGGGAGAGCAGATGGGTAAGGAGAAACTTAAGGTTGTATAAATACAGCAGGGAGATGTGAGTTTCCCCTATGTAGAGTGAGGAAGATAGATAGTAAAAATGAACTGAGAGACAGGACTATAGTTGGTAGGAGAAAAACAGGGATATTGAAATAGAGAAGGAATAATAGAGAAAAGGGAATATGTGGATAATAGGGGTAAAATAGAGAGAGAGGGAGAGAGAGAGAGAGACAGGGGTGGTAGAAATGGGGCATCAAGATAGAAAAGAGAAACAAGACATAAAGAGAAGAAATTCAGCGCACCATAAGGATGACAAGGGTGGAAAGAGAAAAGAAAGTGAGAGAGTGAGAGAGAGAGAGAGAGAGAGAGAGAAGAAATAGAGAGAGAGAGAGAGAGAGAAAGAGAGAGAGAGAGAGAAAGAGAGAGAAAGAGAAAGAGAAAAAGGGAGAGCAGAAGCAAAAAAAAGGGGGGCATCAATGAGGGGGAGGTGCAGGGGGTTCGATCTGCTCAAAGTATTTCAAATATTTTATAATTATTTTAAATTCATATTTGCGAATGGAACTTCTAATACAATTAGGAATGCATGATAGTTTGCTTTTTAATTTTTTACCGGCAACAAAGAAATAATTATCAGTACTGAAAGAGAATAATGGGTATCATACATAGGAGTCATCATTGAAAACAACATACTGATCAGTTATTAAGAATGAAAATATCGTTTTGCATGTTTCTATGTGAGCATCTAATCAACAGATAAAGTAGAGAAAATAATAAGGAACAATTATAGGGAGTTATCTGCTTGGAGGCGGCCCGAAAGTTTTGAAATATCTAGTAGTTGGTATTGGTATTTATTTTCCATATCACAATATTAAAAACAATACAAAGTAAATGCATGTACATAGTAAAATCAATAGTTTAGTAAATGGCTGGATAACCCATTCAGCTTTGTTAGTATAACAAAACTGTTCTTCCCTGGGGTCCAGGAATTAAGATACCAACACTTATTATACAACATACAATACAACATAAAATTATATACTTTGAATACATAATATAACCTAAAACAGATAAGAGAAGCATAAACACCCCCAACCCCCCCCCCCTCCTCCATCCAAGCATGTTCCATTACAGATCAGAGCAAAACTGATTTCTTAAATTTAAAAGTTTTTTAAATTGTTGGATAGCTTAATAGTTAACGGTAGGTCATTGTACTCACGTGAGCCTTTATACACAAACATTTTACGGCAGCATTCACTCTTTGGTTTGGGAAGTTTAATATTTCCTTGCGATCGTAGAGAATATGGATAGTTACAGTATTTGAAGGACTCCTCTAAATAAGGACGAGCCAAATTGATCAGGGATTTATAGACCATTATATTTAAATGCAATTTACGTCTTGAATGGAGAGATTTCCACCCTAATTTAACATGACCCAATGTATTTCATTGTTTTGGTACCATGATAACCATGGTTACCATGGTGGATGGTAATTTGGACAAAAGTACCATGGTTACCATGGTACATTTTTGTGAGGAATACCACCCCCACCC